CCAGGTGATGAGAGGGGAGGCTGTCAGGGGGAAGGGAGAAAACAAATGAAAGAAGATACAGCAGGTTCAAATGAAAGAGGAACCAGAAGAGAGGAAAGAACAAGGCAAGGAAAAAAAATAGGACAGAGATACAGGAAGAAAAAGGGACTGTAGAGGATAAGAGACAAAGGAAAAAGGAAGAGATAAATAACGGGGGCGGGGCAGGTGGGAGAGCTGGGATGATTGGCACATGCCAGGTGATGAGAGGGGAGGATGTCAGGGAGGAAGGGAGAAGACAAATGGAAGAAGATATAGCAGGTTCAAATGAAAGAGGAATCAGAAGAGAGGAAAGAACAAGGCAAGGAAAAGAAATAGGACATATATAAGAAAGAAAGAGGGACAGTAGAGCATAAGAGACAAAGGAAAGAGGAAGAGAAGCGCAGGAGAGGGGAAGCATATATAATAGGGGGGCAGGTGAGAGCCGTGGGAAAAAGACCGTGTTGCTGCCTTTTTGATCCTTTTTGCAATTTTTGCTGGGTTTTTTGATGTCTTTTGATTTTCTTGATTTTGAACGTATATTTCACTGGTTTGCCATCTTAACTCCCGAGCTTTGATGTGCCATCAAACCGGTCGAAGGGATCAGGCGCTTTTTGTGCCTTTTTGCAACTTTTCCCCAGTTTTTTTGATTTTTTTGATTTGGGACATTTTTTCCCCCTGGTTTGCCATCTTATCTCTCGAGTTTGGATGTGCCATCAATCCGTAAACCGGTATAAATCTCAACAGGAATCACGGGCTGTACACCTCGCGCGATACAGTAGCCGGAACGTAAGCGTACACAAATAGCGGCTGGCACAGGCCTGGTCTAAGAAAAAGTGGCCTGTTGACGCAGGGTATACTCCGATGTTGCAACTCCGGTCTATAATTGGCATTGTCGAGCAAAAGCTGGGTCAAAGTTCTGCATCACAAAATCATCCTGCAGGAGACCCTTGTCACAGAAGTCGTTTTATATACTGTACATAGAAACTGTTGTGTGACCCATCCGAGCCTCACCCTCACCCGGAGGGAATTCCGCAAGCTTGCAAGATTGCTGAGGAATGCTGAGGAACCCCAATGTCCATGGCACCCAATCCAAGTAAAATGCTTGGTATGGTAGTGGCGACCATGCCTCCATCTCCTCCCAGTAGACGGGCGAAAACAACGTTTGCTTCAGGTACTCTAGAGCAAACCACATGATCAAAGCCCTACAACTCCGCATAAGTCGAAGAAGTTGCCTGTCCTCAACGGGTTGCCATATGATCTTCCCATGGATTTGGTTTCTCTTGCATCAAGTCCTCTCATGAAGATAAGATTGGCAAGTCGTGCCAGAATCCAAAGATCACTCGGTTTGAGGATCTCAGAGGTCGCATGCGAGTTCGATACTTGCCAGTTTGAACTATGGCATCTTGATAAGCCCCTCTGCTTTGCCATGGCTCAGTTCGCGGCCCGGGGATACCGGCCCATCGGGCGTACCGTGGGCTCTGTGGCCCTTGAAGGTCTGAGCCACAACGCCATCTAATTCGTCATTATCCTGCCCCAGAAAGCCGCAGGAGAAAATCCAACGCAAAACCATGTCATGATAAGTCATGATTCCCCATTCCCACAACAACCATGCAAATCGCGCAGTCCCGACACCAAAAACACAATCCAGTGATGTGTTTTCATCACTCCTTGATCACCCACAAGTGACCCAAAGGGGAAACCGTATTTGATATCACTATATAGCCAGCACCACATATATGCTTGAGATGACGAATTTCTCGCAGTGCCGAGAAACCCCCTTCATACACGAGACTTGCAATTGCACCTCAGTGACAGTGAGAGTCAAGAAAAGAAAGAAACAAACAGTCAAGAGTGAGCAACCTCCAGAAACTGCAGTCAAATACAAACTTGGCACAACCTCAAACTGAACAGCGGTGCCAAGGGATGGAACGTGTTCGAGCCGCCATTCGGTGTGATTCCAGATCATAAGGCCAGACATTGAATACAAACCTACATGTTACACTCTGAAAAGGCATTTTTTGCTGCAATTCCTGGACTTTCCAGGCTCATGTTCTTCATAGCATCGCAGAGCGTCCGGCAGAATGGTTCCCACAGATTGCTGCTGAGGGAACGCCTGTCGTTTGGAGGAGCCTGGATGCAGTCCCTGTACACTGTACACATCAGTTTTATCCCATACTCTACATGTCCCGACTTGATGTGCCTTGCCGGCCTTGCCTTACCTTTCACTTGTGTCCCCGCACATGGTGATGATGCAGGCCCGAAGAGATCCTTTTGGTGGATGATGTGAGGACAAACTTTCAAAGTGGTGGAACCAACACTAAGCAAGTCTTTCGCTGCTGCAAGGTTGCACGTTCCTTGGCAGCTGTTCATGCTTCTTGATGCTTATTTTGAAACATGAGCTTAAGTACCTGCATTGTGCAGATGAGCCAAGGCTATGATGCATCTTCTTTCCGCGACATGGGCTTTGTCAGGGATATGGGTGGCATTGGCGCGCACAATGAGGAGTGACAGTGATAGACCGGATTTCATTGAACATTGAGGACTTCAGGAACAAAACGACATTTCGAAGGGTGAACATGGGGCTTAAACGTTATCCGAAAAAGCTTACAGTTGCTTGTGGTTGATTCATATTGATTCCGTTCCTGTTCCCAGGAGGATTACAAAACTCTGATAGAGTTTGCCAACCGACCATGGGCGTTCAATGTTGACTTCCGAGTCCATTGTCTGGAACGCGGCTTTGAGGGTGCCGAGAAGAAACCACCAGTGAAACTGATCATCTTCGATTTCGACGGAGCCTTGACTCTTTACACTTTCATGCCAGAGGACATGCTTCGACTCCAAATGCTGTCACGACAGAGCATCTTGAAGAGGGGAAAACACCATTTGAGTTAGTTAGTCAGAGTCAGAGTTTGTTGGAACAGTTTGGAGGACCCCCGATGTAGCAACGAAATTGGCTTCACGGCCAACGAGTCGGTACAGAAGCGATACGTTCCTCGACTGCAGCAACAGTGTCTAGTTTGCACTTCACATTGAGAAGGCACAATTTTTGTAGGTGCAGTATAACTTCGAGACTCCCTACTTGGATGGAAGCAGAGTGGACCAACTTAGAAGCCTGCTAAAGTGCTTGGCCTACGACCCCGAAACTGGTGAAAGGCCTGATCAAACCTTTCTCTCTGCAGTTGTGACATGCCACAAAGTTTCAAAGTTGGTTCCAGCACCGAGAATCGAGGCGGGTTTTGGCGGTTCTGACAATCAATGAGGCCCGAGAAGTATGCACGCTGGAAAAATGGATTCAAGCGGACCGGACATTTGCATACTTTTGGAACTTAAATGTTACATACATTTTTTGGTCGGGCCCTTACATCCTTTTGCTCGGGCCCTTGGGCTTCGGGTTGCTTTGTTTCTCGGTGAAGGCCGGGGCTGTTGCTGTGCTAAATGTTCTCAGCATGGCCGGCCTTTCGGATTCTTTCAGCGCAATCTGGACGTTATCCACCCGTGGTCAGCCCGGTGGCGCTTACAGGGAGGGCCAAGAGTGGAAAACGCTGCTTGGAAGTGGAACATGATCCAAAACGCAGCTCAATTGAAGCTTCACTTCGCTTCAGATGTCAGCATTTTGCACAATTGTGAGTATTTGTAAGAAAAACACATTCAGATGCTTCTAAGTCACTATGCGGCTGTGGACGTATTATTGAACGTTGGAGTTGACAAGGACTGTTGTTCTCCAGGTTCACACTGCCGCAAAAGATTGCTGAAGGGCACTACAAACCCTCTGCCAATCTCTTAGTGCAAAGTTTTCGTGCAAATGACGAGCCTTCTGGTGCACTGCGAAGGTTTGTGAAGAGTATACTTGTACTGAAGGTGCTTGAGAGCATTTTGGCAGATCCACGTGCATGGTTTCCGCAGATAGGCCGCGAACTGCACAATCAGATGCGTTTTGGGTGAGACACTCTGTCTCTACGGAGGTGGGCAACCAGTTCAGCAGTTGGTCGATCTGTCCTTGCCAAACATCGTTCTGGTGGATGATGAGCGCGACACAAGCCATATACCATCTCAGGAAGAATACCAAGCGGTGAGACATTGTGGCAAGGCAAAGACATTGATGTAAGGCTTTGTGTTTTAGGCAATAATAACTAAAGGATACCCAAAACATTGTGGGTCCCAGACGGGAGTTAAAGGGGGAATTGGTTTATCAACAGAATGGAAGGCCCAGAAAGGTTAGCGCCATGCCGGCTTTCAGCACAAGTTGGGACACACACACACACATAAACATGCTGAGGTCGGGTTGCAAGCTATGATGACGAATATCGTGATCAGGGTTTGCTTTGGCGCATGGGTGGGCTTGGTGCTCACTGTGTTGAGGATGCCGAGGGCGTGTGCACGGCGTACGACAATGCACCTGTTGAAGTTTCATGCAATATATGAAATCCGATTCAGTATGTATGATATATTATACTGTACGTATGTGTACGTATGAATTCTTTCCTCTTGAGCCCTCGGAGAAATTGGAAGTTGCAAGAAATGTCGGCTCAACATTGCACGATGATTTTTCTTACTCTTGTTTTTCCTCCACCAGCACCACTTGGGCCATAGGTTTTGGAGCTACATTCATTCGTTGAGCTGGGGTCATAGGTAGTGCTACCAACTGACCCGATTGTGACACGCTAGTTGATAGCCGCGCACAGCTGTGCATCGCTGTGAATAGCCGTGCTGGTGTCCCAGATGCAGTGCGGCATGCTGCTGCTTTTAGACCAAAAGCAAAGGTAGTTAGCTGGTCAGCAGGTGGGTTCTAATTCAGACGCCGCCATGGGCGTGGTTGAAGATGCAGCCGAGGCCCGGCCCAACTTCTCAAGTTTAAGACTAAGACTTGTTTTGCTTATATATAGAATGATTGTTCCCGTTGCAGCCAATGCATTTTCTTGGGCATTGTTGCCCAGGCGGCTGCGAGTTCAAGTTCTCACCATCACCATGCGAAGCAGGCTGTCATGGTTTGCCAAAGAGCCTTGTAGGTTGGCAATCGTCATCCCTGCATTTCAGGCATGCTATGATACCTCCTATCTATGCTTGTTCGAGGCCCACTGGGGAATATGTTCAACCAACCGTACTGGAGCGACAGTCAACGCGGGAGCTGAGCAATCAAGAAAGATTTGAGGAACAAGAGGTTGAAAAGAGCACCCGGTGTGCCTGAACCTTTGGCAGATCCCATTTTACGCAAACTATCCTGAAGACGTGCCAGTTTCGGGTGAGCTCGTGCGAGGCTATCAACCCGTACATGTGGTCCTACATGGGCATTGCAATCGCGCTTGGTGTTTCGGTTTTAGGCTGGAGTGAGTGCACTTCCTACACACCATGGCACAATCCATTGCTGTTTATATATATATATATATTTATAAACTCTTTGTTGGCCAAGGGGCAGCCTGGGGTATTTTCTTGACCGGATCCAGCATTGTGGGTGCGGGGATCAAGGCACCCCGCATCAGCACCCAGCCCGCAATTGGTAAATACTGATTGGGTTATGGCAAAGGCACCACTCTATTTGCTGGCACACAGATCTTGGCTTGGTCGACTGCCCAAACAAGGTTCAAAAAACCTGGTCAGCATCATTTTTTGCGAAGCAGTCGCGATCTATGGTGCAACTTGAATGCACAAGTTGTGTTTGTTTTTTGTCAGTCTTGTTAGTTCTTCCTTGGAAAGTAAGCTTGACCAAGGTTATCATAGCGATTATCATGGCCAACAAAATTGAGGGTTCCGAGATATTTGATGTGCCCGCGCAGCCAAAGGGTTGGCAGGCAGCTGCTTTTACGTAACATGGTCACTTTGGCACCTTTCACTTTGACAAGCTTGATACATATCACGAAAGCTAGCGAAGCTAGCTGGAGTTACTCTTGCGATAGCAAGGTTTCTTTCGACCGGGTGCAAATCCTAACCCCTGATTTTTCAGGTCTCCCCACCTCCCCTCTCCTCCTCCTTGTCTTCCTCCCATCTTCCCTCCCTCCCTCCCTCCTCCCTCTTCGCAAGTTCGACTCCGTCCTGTCGTCGCTCTTTGGCATGCGGTTAGCGTTGCGTATCTTGCGGCCGCACTCGCTCACTCTCACTCTCACTCTCTCACTGTCTCACTGTCTCACTGTCTCTCTCATCTCTCTCATCTCTCTCATCTCTTTCTCATCTCTCTCATCTCTCTCTCCTCTCTCTCTCTCTCTCCTCTCTGTCTCTCGTCTTTCCGTCTCTCTTCTCTCTCTTCTCTCGCAGGAGGATCCGGGCAAAGAGCCACATATAAAGGACTCTTCACCCCTGCCTCCAAAAAGAGCGCCGTGTTTTTTCCTACCTCGCTGCCCTCCACTTTCCCATTCTGGAGCGCTAGCTTTCCCCCCCCCCTGGCCTCAAGTTTGTAACAGACATGCTATATATAGATTCCGATTGGAATGATTGAGTCAAGGGAAGAGTGGGCAGGCAGGAAAGAATCAAACGGTGAAAAGACATTGCAGCCTGCCCGCTGAAAGGCTCAGACGATGGTTGCTGGCTAAGGGCTTATTGTGGCACGATTCAATGGCAACTGCAAGGGCTGATTGCAAGTATGCAATTGTTCAGTAGTTCGACCACCTGCTTTGTCATTTCAAGCCACTTGAGGGTGGTGCATGTTCTGCGCGGGACTGTCTGTCGGCCTGTCAAATCTGTTTTGCCCCTTGTCAGCGCTATACAGAATGACAATGACTGACACAGTTCAAAGCTGGTAGATATGGAGTTAGAACAGAGAGAGAGAGAGAAAACAAGACAGGGCCATTTTGGCTCAAGATATCGGCTCAAGGTTCAGGAGGCTCAAGCTGGTGCGTCCTACCTTGAGGTCACGGAGGGCACTGGAGCAACGACACTGACGAGGTCTTTGTCCTGTCCAATTAGGCTGGTGCCAGTGCCTTTGCCCGTGATACGAGACAGCAGAGCCCTACCACCTGATCAACATCATGGAGAAGCATGGCTGGGATGGTTGGCAGTGGGCAAGACGAAAGGGCAAGCGATCCTACATGGTGTGTGGTGGCTGTGAAGCTTCCTGGATCTGGACTGACCGTGTTTCGGACTCCAGGTGGCAATGTGACAAATGCCATACACCCTGGCCGCAGACCACGTCGAGTATGCCTTGGAGGACCAACCCCCGCCGACAGGCGCGCACCAAAAGAGACAAAATGGTGCTGGTTGACAGGCCGCCAGGACTGGGAGCTAGAGACAAAAAGATTGCCAAGAACCCCGTGGATGACCTGTTGAAGAAAAGCTGGACCACCTTGAATGGTGATGTGAAGAAGGCTCTGCAATCGGTTGGCATCGACTACACGCCGGAGCCAGAACTGCAGCCATTGGAGGTGATCTTGCAAGCCCACTTGGAGGCCCTGCCCAAAGAAGTCCGAGAAGCAGTTGAGAACTTGGTTGCACCAGCCAAGCAGGAGCCCAAAGATGTGACCACAAAGCTCAAGGCCACAGTTGGGGAGCTCAGGCAGCTATCAAACAAAAAGGCTGGCCTCCAGAAGAAGGTGGACACGGCCAAAGACCAGTACAAGATCCTGCTTGACGAACTGAAGATGGTGCAGGAACTGATTGACAAAGAGCAGCAACAGTTGACTGCGCAATCTGAGGCCTATGCCAAGATCCTGAAAGAAGAGAATGTCGAAGACACCACCAATGAGACGGGTGAAGTTGATGGTGACATGAATGATCACGTGCTCAAAGCTTTGGCACAAGTTGGCATTTTGTACACAGACACCCAAAAGTCAGATTTGGAGCGGCACCTGGCTGAGAACAAGCTAAAGCGCCGCAAGAAATCTGAGATCCCGTCCTTAGGGTAACCCTGAGCAGGGATGTGAGCAGACTGTTGAGGAGGAGATGAAAAGGTCTGAAGTCATGCAGCAAGTTGAGCAGGGGTCATTGCTACATGCTCAGGCTGTGATAGGGTTGAAGAGGCAAACCAATGGGAGTGTTTGCAAGTGTGGCATGCTTGGGATGACATGCAAGCTTCATAAAAAGATGAACGACATGAGCATGTCAATTGGAGATGTGGACAATCCTGCTTGGATGATGCCTGTGTTCAAGGTTGGCAGCCGTATGTGGGTTTGGAAGAGCAGTTTGATATCCCTTTCAATCCGCAAGGGGCAGGCAGCCATGACATACAATTAGGGGTTGACAGGCTGAATTCACAAGTTTTTGAGCTAGCTTGTCGCGCTCGGTGGGGAAACATGGGCGCTGATGGCAAGCCATGGAAGCAAAGTGGATCCTCAGAACACACTGAGGATGAGGGCACTAGTGAGCAGGCACCGTGTTCTTCTATGTCAGAGCAGCTCGTAGAGACTGCTTCGGACGGGACCTGCCTCACTAGTGCTCAAAGTGGAAGGTTGGATCAAGGCCAAACAGAGATGGTGGTCTTGATGCAACAAAGTGATCAGCAGGCAGACGTGAACGGAGCCTTCAATTCGAAGATGTTGAGGGATAGCCGTGGCATGAAAGCCTGCACCAAAGGCAAGCACTCTCTTGAGGATGCCCCAAACATGAGAGGTGAATCAAGAGAGGGCAAAGAGGCGGGGGAAGGGGCAGAAGGGGCACTGTGCTCTTCTATCTCAGAGCGGCCAGGCTCGCCTGGACCTGCTTTTGACAGGACCCTGGAAGCCCCAATCCGTCACCTGCCAAATGAACAAATTGGGTATCCAGTGGGCTGTTCCAGCAGCCCACTCTGTGGGTCCCAAACCAGGCCCTTTTCGGGACCCACAGGCCCTTTTCGGGACCCACAGGCAATGGGTACCAATGCTCTCTCCTTGGTGGGGGCAAACGAGCAAAAGTCAGTGGAGAAGATGAGATCCTTGCGGATGAAGATCAGTATGCGGAGAGAACTACGCCAGGACATTTGAAGGACAGGCTCGTTGTCCTACAGGAGAGAGCAATGGAAGCAATTCAGGCCTTGCCCATACAGTGTGCAGACGACATTGAATTTGGGCAAGTGGAGACCAGGGTGTGGGGCTTGGAGGCCTTGAAACATGTGCTCCGCATGAGGATGGCACTGCAGAGTAACTTGATGTTATGCAGGCCAGTGGAGGCGGACCCCAAGATCCCGCCGGCGATTGAGCTGCTGGCGGCAAATCTCACACTGTGCATCCACAATAAAGGCAATCGCTGCTATGCAAACTCGGTGATGAGGATGTGGTGCTGGATGGGTGCACATCACAAGAATCCAGCAGAGTTTTGGGGACAGTCCACCAAGCTGTGTATGCAGCTTCTGCAGCAGGACGAGATTGATGATATCTTTTGGGCCTCAGAGATGCAACCTATCATAGCAAGGTTGGAAAGGCCGCAACAGCAACATGATGCCTCGGAGTTTCTGGTCCTGATGTGGGAGCTCTGGCAGCAGACGGGCCTACAAGGAAATTGGGTGTCAAATTTTGGTGGCAGAAATCATGAGTTTGACACATACCCATCTTTGTCAGAATGCCTCCTGACTTAGGGGAGGATGTGCAACTGTCGACCCTGCTGTCGATGTGGGCCAATGAAGCGAGTGGACAATGCCTGGGGCAAGAAGTACAGCATGTTGTGTTTCACATTGGGCGGTATTCAGTGATTGATAGGGTTTGGACCAAGCACAATCACAAGTTGATCACACCGCCAATGTTTCAGTGCCCGCAGATGACGTCGACTGGTCACGCAGCTCCTGCGAATTTTGTGTTGAGAGGTGTCATTGCACATCAAGGGATGGAGCTCATCAGTGGTCACTACATCACCATGTTGGTGGAAGGGCAAGCGGTTTGGATCGCAGATGATGGTGAGTGTCCAAGAGCGGTGAAAGAAATTCCGAGCATTATCCAAGAAGGCACAGTGATGGTGTGGGCCTCAAAAGCTGAACCCTCGGATTTCTGGTCCAATCCCATTGGTACTATACAACCACCGCTGAAGAGACCGAAGATCCTGCAAGATGAGGTGCAATTGTTCTTTAGCAACATCACTCAATGGAACAAAGAGGTCTTCCAATGGCTCATCCAGCAAGACCTGCAGATTGCGCTGCTGGTGGAGACACACATAGCAGGCCCTAAGATGGAGGCTGCCATGAGTGACCTGTGTAGGTCTAGATGGATGCCCACCTTCCTGACTGCATATGAGACGGGCAGAGGAGGCACAAGTGGTGGACAAGCCTTTTGCTGCAGGGAAGGGCAGACGGCCTACAAGCTACACCACTATGACCATGAAGGAAATGGATATTTGGCCAATGTGGTCCAACGGCAGAACTGGGAACTATGTGTCATTTCAGTGTACCTCAACTGGGGGAGATGCCCCAATAACCCTGTTGATACAAGGTGCGGATTGCAACAAAGAGCAAGCTCAAAAACTGGCATTCAACCGGCAAGCTGATGAATACCAGAACTGGCTGTCTCAAGCAACCCTCCGGGGGCACAGTGGCATCTACAAGTGTTTGAAGGCCCCAGATGCGGTTCACGTCAGACCTTTTCGCAAAGTGCCTGTGCAGCAGAGACAGCAGATGAGGGAAACGCAATGGTTTGGAATGTGGCAGGTTGTTGACAAGCCCAAACCAAATGGGGAGAGAGAGCGGTTGAGATATGAAGGCATTGCGCAAGCCCGGCAACGGGAAGATCTTGATCCCCACAAGGTGATGAAACAACTCAGCAAACTCCCTCAAAAAGCTTCAGGACCAGATGGAGTCAGCTATGCCTTGTTGAAAGCCCTGCCCATTGAAGGGGTCACTGCTCTGTGCAACATGTACAGGAAGTGGGAATTGGAAGGCCGGTTGCCTGATCAAGTGCGCACAACATTGGTCCTGCTGCTCCCCAAAAAAGAAGACATTGAGAGGCCCATCTCATTGACGAGTGTGCTGTACAGGACGTGGTGTAGATTGAGATGGGACAAACTGCGACCATGGCAGACCAGCATTGGCCAGAAGCTCAGTTGGGAGCGAAGTGTGCCTGGCACACATGTCCTACAAGTTGCCCTCATGAGGCTGCTGAAATGTGAGGTTGGCCGTGCCACTGGAAAGCATGTGGTCTCGCTTCTGGTGGACCTGCAGTGTTTCTATGACAGTGTTGTGCTTGAGCAACTGTTGGAAGCATGGGAGCCTTTGGATTTCCCGCCTGCAGTGATGAACATGGTATACGAAGTGTATACCGGGCCACGGCTGCTCCAGGCCGAACAGGTCACCTCCAAACCTGTGATCTGCTCAAAAGGAATCCTGGCCGGATGCCCTGCAGCACCGTTAGTAGCCAAGTTGATCCTGGCGCCAGTGTTAGGCCCTTTCAAGGAGCAGTTCCACAAAGCCACCATAGATGTGTGGGTGGACGACATCTCCATTGACTTCGTTGGGGATAGTGTGAGAGGAGTTTGTCAGGAGGCCCTCCATGGATTTGACGTCTTGCAACAGAGGCTCACGGATGCTGGGCTGACAATGTCCCTGGCCAAGACTGGGTACCTCGCCTCATCGAATGATTGCAAGAAGGAGATCACCCTGCTGAGGAGAGAAGACCAACCCACAGTTCACGAACTCCTGAAAGATTTAGGCTTGGACTCCAGTGGAGGTCGACGGAGGAGGATTGGAACACAGCAAAAGCGGCTTCTCAAGGCTGGAAGGCGAAATGCCAAGCTGTCAATTTGAAGATCAAGGCCAGACCCATCCGGATTAGAGTTTGGAAGACCTCTGTACACTC